AAGGTACAGGCCCGACCTACGCCCAAACGGCATAACATCGTTCAACAAACAAGAGTGAACGATCATGCCCGACGTGGACACCTCAATCGAGCTCCACCGTCGAAGTACCTGCAGGGCAGAACACCCAGCTCGCGATGGGCAGTTCACTTCGCGGGTGAATAACCCCGATCCGGGTCATGTACCCGAATAAGCGGCTTCGCTCCGCGCGCCCGACGAATCTCGAAGGAAGTCGGGCCATCAAAAAGGGTCGAAAAAGAAATCTCTCCTCGAGGTCAGCACTTGGGCGAATTCGACCACCGAATAGAAAGCCGAGCACATGCACGAACAAAAGACTTAGGCAAGTTTGCCAACAAAGTCACAACCACATACGGGCAAGACTCGGGCCCGTAACTTAGGCCAATTTTTGCGCGAAAACGTAAAACACGGGCAAACAATTAAAAATTGAAACAAACATTCATTCAAAATGCCTGAAGGCAACAAAGCAAATAGATATAAACCGACCAAGAATGCCGGCAATGTTCAGGAAATACAAAGAACGGGCGCGCAGGCCCAAAAAATACGAACGGGCACGCAGGCCCAAAACAAACATCAACAAAGGCGCGCAGGCCCTATCAGAATCTCACAACTCAGCTTCCCCAGAGCTATCACCACCGACAACAGGAGACTCGGGCGGAGGCACGACCTGACCATCAATGATCTGGGACATGTAGCCCACTCCTTCAGTGTTCAGACCAGGATTCAACAGAGAAAGCTGGCTGACCGCGGCTTTAAAGCCATCCGCCATAGCACCGACACAGTCCACCTCGAGGAGTTGAATACGAGCGACCAGTTCCGACCGACTCTGCAAAGGAGCCGTCTCCTCCGACTCATCCTCGGCAGGGAGCATGGCGGCCTTTAATTCCTCGACCTCTCTGGCGAGGCGCCCGTTGTCAATTTCCAGACGTTCCCGGTCCTCACAGAAATGGTCCCTCTCCTCGGCCAGCTTCCCCGAGTTCTCTTTCTCCAGAGCCAGCAACTCTGTCTCCGCCGCCAGCAGCTCGGCTTGCTCGCGGAACATCTCCTCGGAGCGCTCCAGAGCAGCTTTCAACTTTCACGAACTCGAGGTGAGGGCAGCTTTCTCCTGTTCCAGCTCTTCGATACGGTCAGAGTCTTCCCCCTCCTCGGCCAGCACAACGGCCATCTTGACCAATCCGGCCATATTGGCGGCCAGGTGCTTTCTCCGACTCTCCTTGCTCATCCGCCGGATAACCTCGGCTTCGTCAGCACTCACGGACAAGGGAAATCCCTCGAAGAAACCCTCCTCTTTAAAACAAGGGGGAAACCCGAAGGACCTCACCGCACTAGAGTCCTCGCCAACATCTGGTTGGCTCTCCACCCGATTCCTCTTCTTTTGTATCAGGTCGGTATGTATCAGCTCGACGTCCTGAGCGTCTGCAGATCCTCCCGAAGCAGCGCCCGGGCTAATCGGCGGGCCCGTTCTCGTCGCCTGAGAAGTACCCGGGCTAGTTGGCGGACCCATCCTCGTCGCCTGAGGAGCTCTCACCACCCTCTTATTGACCTTCTTGTCACAGGACAACTTCAAGAGCCTCTCCCTTCGGTCGGCCATCAGACCTGCATGAAAGAACCCCGGGCTAGTGACGAGCAAATAAGCGAACAAGTAACAAGTGAAGAAATTCAAACAAGACAAAACAATAACGACCTAGAAGATTCGCGGCCTGCCCGAAGGACTGGCACTCCACAAGTGCCTTCGTATCGATCGGTCGGGCCTCGAAGGTCGGATAACCTTCTTCGTCAAGAATATCCTTCCCCTCCCTCGTGGCCCATCTGGCGGGGAAGAAACTATCGACATACCGATAGAGAGTACCATAAGACTTCTCGTCTTCGGGGCTCATCTCGCCCACAGACGTGTGATAGTACCCGGTGCCATGCTCATAGTGCCTCGAGGTCCAATGCAAGGGAAATTTGGCCACGCGTCCTAACACCGGGCGTTCCTCGTCGTCTAGAAGGGCTTCCCCGTGGTCGTCGGTCACGACTGTTTCTTCCTCATATACAGATTCTAAACCCGTTGTGGTAACAGGCCTCATAATGTACCACTTGTCTTTAAAACCCCGGACGGAATCCATGTACATTCTGAACAGTCTCTTCGACTGCTTCAAGGAAACCCAGTTATGCCTACCTCCCCGGGACTAGCGCTGTAAGTGGAAGACTCTGAAGAAAAGGGGTATGGTCGCCCCAATCCTTAGAAACCGACAAGTTAGCTCGAACGCCCGGATGAAAGCGAGCGAATTTGGGTGAAGCTGCGACGGGGCCAGCTCCAGATGGCTGAAGACCCCGACCTGAAAATCGCTGAAGGGCAGCTGTAATCCAAGGTCCTTGAAGGCAATTTCATACATGGGGAAACCATACTCGGGGAACTCCGAGCAGATCCGTGCGGTGAAAGTTGGTCGCGTGACGACGAAGTTCTTCTGGAAACTGGGCTAGCTACTGCCCTTCTCGAGGATGGTGTATGCACTTCGACTACGTCGATTATAGGCCGAAGCTATCCCTCTAGGCTCGGCACTCACCCATTCCAGCAAAGGATCCTCTATGGTATCAACCAAATTCACATTTTCATCAGCACTTTGGTCTTCCACCTCGGTGCACCCTGAAGAACACGGTTCGTCCGCCATGGTTACCTACAAAGCACAGGAAATCGATCAATTGGGAGAAAAACCACACGCTCGCCATAACGGACGGGATGAAGGGCACGACAAACCGCGTCGCTCCATGCACGACCACAAAGTTGGTGTTTCGAACAAAAAGAGCATAGTCACCTCCCCGACTCCCAGATACCACGACAAGCCTCCCTACAGATCGCCTAAATAGGCCAACATCTTGACCACTCACGAATATGTCGACCTAGGCTATGAACGTGGCGAGCGACATCATGAGTCTCAAAACTAGGGCCATCAGTTTACCGGGCACTACCAAGAATTAGGCGCCCTGAATCATGAAGATCTCGGGCGGCACTACGAGTCAAATACCTAAACTATGCATTTACCGGGTGCAAACATGCGTTCGCCGGGCATACACATGGATTTGTCAAGCTAAATACAAATGTACCGGGGCTAATCCTCGGCGTGCAGTCTCTAACGTCTAAAAACAATGAAAGATGTCACGCATCACAGAGGAAAAGCAAAGGGAACGAGACACTTACTTGTAATCAGGAAGAAGGTGCGACGGCGGAGAAAAGGAATCAGTGACGGAGATCACGACGGTCCTATGAATATCTGGGAAGAACAGCAACAGCAAGAACAGAGGAAAGAGGAGAGGCGCGAAGAGGAAAAACACGTTCTGGGGCCCAAGGACCCTATTTATAGTGATGACGTGGAATACGAAACGTCACCCCGGGGAACCACAGAACTTCCCTCCTCGACGTGTAGCTCCCCTAGGCAATGATGGCCCTATCGTCAGTAGGGTGGCGGCACGGTTCCCAAGAGATGCCTCATGTGCTCAACGAACACAGCCATCGAGATTCCCCGAGCCCTCCTCGAACGGAATTATCTCATGGGCCCGACACAGAGGGAAACCCCTCGGGCAAGCCGCGGGGAACTACATCTCTTTGCCGGGAACGGGACCCCGTGACAGAGGCGACCTAAGATCAAGTCATGGATCCTACTCCAGGAACCACGACTTGGGGGGCTCCTGTTTTGGACTGGGCCGGGCTGGCCCAAAAGCAATGGTGAAGGCCCAATCCAAACGGTCTTGCAAGGGGTCACGCCGATCAAAGAGGCCACAGTCGAGCCCGACACTCTATGCTAGTGCGACATCCTCGACTCCATGCTATCCTGCTCGACCTCAGCTCGAGCACTCCTCATAGGGCAAACTCTGTCCACTACACCATCACCTGGATCCTGAAAAGACCGCGTCCTCGTCCGTCGGTACTTCACGCAGAACATCCAGGAAGGAAACCACGTGCGGGTTCCCACTACACACGTAGAACCTGGCAGTTCCTCCATTGGGCCAAACCTTCCCGGCCCAATGAAGGAATCTTGGCTCAGCGCTGGGGGCTATAAATACCCTCTGTTCCCAGAGGGTCAGGTATTCATTCTCTTACCCATACTCATACTATTGCCTGCTCGTGCTCTTACTTACTTCAGCATCGGAGTGCCTTGCAGGTATTCCCCCCACCTCGTTCAAAACTTCAGCTCGGAGCCAGCCGTGACGGTCCAAGTCTGATCAGGTTAGATCATATATTAAATATTTTTTATGTATTTTATATTTATAAATTAGTTGAACCACTAATTTTACCAAACATTTTACTTAGCTTATCAGCTATCAGTTTCAATCATCCATTATAAGCTATAAACTATCAGTCATTATTGTAAACTATAGGCTATCAGCTAACTTATCAGTCAACCACTATTTTTACTAAACAGACCTATAAACTATAGTCATTAGATATCGATCATAAGCTATAAAACTATTAGTTAATTTATCAGTCAACTATTATTTTTATACCAAATAAAATGTTACTCCCTCTAATTTTTTTTTGAACATGATCCCTCTATTTTAAAATTCAAGATTTTGGTTCTTAAATTTAATTTTTTTTCAAGATTTTTAATCCGTTCTAATTTAAGATTTAAATTTGATGATGTGTCCATATCTCATTTGCAATAATTAAATCAAGTCATTTTATTGATTTTAATTATAATATTTTTTTTAGAAAATTAGAAAATATAACTATTTAAAATTAAATATAACTATTCTAAATTAAAACTTTCAAAACTAAGAGACACAAAACGACATCATTTAATTCCCGTATAAAACCCCAATGCGTTTGACATGGAGAGCACAACCCGTAACCGAAAGTCGAGTTCCAAATTACACGTCGTCACAATAATAACGACTTTCTCAAGCTTATTCTTCTTCCCTCAAATGTCCCAACGGTTTTCTCTCTCCATTTTCCATTCTCAAATTTTCCTTCACAACTTCGATTCTAACAAGTTGCAGCATCAACAATGTCGCTATCGGATTCCGAAACCTCCTATGGCGGTGGCGGTGGATCGGATTATAAGCCGTTTCGTCATATCAGCCGCGATAGTGAGATTCTTTTCTTTCCGATTCGCATTTCATTTCTCTCGTTTATTTTCTTGTTTCTGTGCCTGCGAAGCTTCAGATTATGTTTCGCTATGAGCTGAGAAAAATAGCTTAGGACGGAAAGTTATGTAGTACCGATAGTATTTGATTCACCGTTATCATGACATTGAAATGTAGTGCATGTTTAGATTCGCTGTGAGTTTGACATGATTACGGTGAGCCACCTGAGTTTTAGGTTTTAAATAACGGCCTTGTTGCAGAGGCTTTTACGATTTTGGTAGGTAAGAGGTTGCGACACTGATTGCGGTTGTCGCAGTGTGAATTAACCATAATTTATTCTTTATCACAAAAGTGGTGAATAACGGTATTTGTCTCGGCACCTTCCGATACCATTTTCTAGCGGTTAGTTTTGCGGTAAGGACCGTTTTTTAAAACCTTACATTTTGGACAAATGACGGAGCCACCTTGATCATGAGAAAACTTGTGCAAGGCTTGTTAGTTCTTCATACTAGAAACTAGAAACTTTGAGATCGTTCTATAACTGTGTTTGATATGTAACTGTATTTAATATGGTTTAGAAGTTAAATCTTGCAATCATGTTGGTTGAAACTAAAAGAATTCATAAAGTTTGTTGTGGATCCTTTTCATTAACCTTTTATGCGTCCAATATTCTAGAAAATGAACCTATGTGTTTCTCTGATAAAAATGTAGCAAACGAAATATGAGATAGCTTCAATTTCGCAGACCGCGATTTGCTGCTCATTGTTCAAAATATATGGCATGCATGAGCGAATCAGACTGAACCACTGTAGAATTTTCAGCTGCTGGCAAGGTGTTTGGAATGACGGTGAATTTGACAAAATCATGGTGGCGGACTGGGATTCCACTCACTTGAAATATTGTGCAAACTTCCAATTAAGGAAATGCATTTGCCACACAAAAAATGCTTAACTAAATTGTAATCATGCTTCTGTATAGGTTCTTTTACAATGGAATAGGGAATTAAAGGAATGTCTGCATATATGTAGTGTATAATCTATTATGTTAAATTTATGAAAATAAGCTGAAATTTTTTTAAGAACATGTTTTAGCTTTTAAATTATCTTCATAAGCACTTCTAGATGCACAGTAATAAATACTATGCATGTGTTTCCTTCACTTTTTTGACCCGTTTCCTAATTCTTTTCATTTCTGTATGTTCATAGGATTATTATATGAAATGCTTAGATCAGCAAAGTCAGGGGATTCAAAAGCCTGGAAGGTGTGGTTTTAATATGGATGTTTTTGCACCTCTCATATGTGGTTTATCTTTGTATGTTATCTTTAGTTAAATCAAGTTCACTGCTGATATTGGTCTACTTTTTCTGATTCTTGTAGGTGCTCATAATGGACAAAGTTACGGTGAAAGTTATGTCACATTCATGTAAAATGGCAGATATTACAGACCAAGAAGTTTCTTGTAAGAACACTAAAAGAATATGGCATTTAGGAGTTTACTTTTTCTGCATTTCATTTTTGAGGACCAATTTGCTTTGACTAATGGCACGGGAGAAAAAATTATAAGACGCACTTCTCATTGTCTATAAATGGCCAAACACTTTAGAAGTGAATGTTGGCACTAAAGCTTGTTACTTCCAAGAATTTTAAGAAAATTTACTAAGTAGTGTTTCTCAGTATGTGTGATTGTGTGCTATTCTAAGTGACAGGAAAATAAAAAATTACCATTACCACAATATTTCTCCCTCATTAAGACATACTACCATTTTACTCATGATAGTAATTAATCTTATCATTTAATACTGAGTATAAATTAGGTGTTTTCTGTTCAATGTTTATTATGTCTTCTGATATTCACTGAAGGAACGTTTCAAGGTTACTCTATTAAAATATTGTTGTAATATAACTTGGTTGTATCTTATTGCAGTGGTGGAAGACCTTTTCCGGAGAAGGCAACCGTTACCATCACTGGATGCTGTTTATTTCATCCAGCCTTCAAAAGAGAAGTAATTTCTGTTTCTTCATTAGATATTTCCATTTTTCATGTCAGCAATAAAAAATCACGTGGTTTAGTTTAACAATTTGATGCAACATGTGTATTTTTACTTATCACATGGAAGCAGAGGGTTTCAAACTCTCTAAAATAGGAAATTCACTGAAAGTTATTTAATGACAGGTTTTTCTATAATTTAATGACATATATCTTTGTAAGCTAAAAATGGGTGGAGGATAGAGTGGGCATAATATATTACATTCAAAAGAATAACTAGGAGTCCTAATATATTTTCTTCTTCTTGGCTTATAGCCGCTAAATAAAGTTTAATGGAAATCCTTCACGGAAAGATTGTCAGGTTGCAAGGACTTTATTATTCAAATATTTTTCTGTATTTTCGTAAACCATAGAAAATTCATTTATTTTGTTGTCTGCTTGAAGTTTACGAATTAGAAAGTTATAAAACATAAACAACGTGTGTTTGGGAGTGCATGGAGTATTAGTAGAGATACAAAAATTACATAAGGATAACCTTTACCGAGAGACTAGCCAAAATTAACATGTCTGTAGGGTGCGTGAATTTTTGGTTCTTGATAAATAAGGCGAGCTGCAATCACTCAGATCACTCTGGTCTTAATTTAATGATAGATAGCAGTTCAATCTTGGATAGCATATTGCAGTTGTAAAAGAAGTGATAATTGTATTATTCAAGGCAGGGAATATTGAAAAGTGTGCTGTAATACTGACTATCCAAACTTGAACCTGAGTGACACCCAGTCGGCAAAGGGAATGTTTTTATACTGTATTATGGTAAAAGTGATTAAGACAAAATAGAGTGATGCTCCAAGAAAACTCAGATGTCTAATCCAAACATCAAAAAGTAGACCGAAAATATGATACCTATGAAAATGGTTTTTTTTTCATAGCTAATTGGAATGAATGTGATAATTTGCATTAGTTTAAGATATTTCTAGTTAGGGGTTAAATATATGTCTGATCCTCTTTATATCTAATTTTATTTTCATTTTGAGCCAATCATCTGTGTGATGTTCCATGCATTATTTCGAAGTGATTTTTTCTCCCTTTTATTTTGGGTTTTTTCGCTTGCATACTTTATCCATATTAAACATCTCTTTTGCTAGCATGCAGTGTAGTCATGTTCTTGTCTGATATGTCTGGAAGGGAGCCTCTTTACAAGAAGTATGTACAGACTTTTGGTTTTCACAAATATTGTATCGTTTCATCCTATATACGTTTGGAATCAAACTGATTGTTTCATTTCATTTATCTTTTTTTTCTTCTTTGGGTGGGGGGTGCCCTTTGTTCCTATACTACTTTCCAGAGCGTATATATTTTTCAGCTCACCAATCCCAAAGGAGCTTGTAAACCACATTAAATGTGATACAAGTGTCTTACCACGCATAGGTGCATTGAGAGAGGTCAGGATTTGTTTTAACCTTCTATCTAACATTTAAAGCAAGTAATCATTGTCAAATTATTTTTGACCGATTATTTTTGGTGTAATTTGCAGATGAATTTGGAATACTTTCCAATAGATAGCCAGGTATATAATGATAGAACTATTTCATGTTTTTGGTAATGTATTTCACTCATAAGATAGTGGATTTGCATCATTGATTAATATTTTAGTCCATTGACATGTCTACTCTCAATCTACCGTATCATAAACCCTTCCTCTCTAAATATTCATGCTATTGTCTATGTAAGGAACCGTAAGGGATGTCCAAACTTTCAAATATGATTTGTAATGCAAGACACAGAACTTACATACCAAAGTAATGCTGCACAGTCAACTAGCCTAGTAGGTAATGCTAAATCAAATGATATAGATAGAGCAGCACTAGAACTGACTGTAAGTACCAAGTACCAAGGCATTGCTCCCTCTAAAGATGTCATCTGTTAACTACTACTTATGTATACATTACGCAGGCATGCATAGACATAAGTAAGCCCCTCTTGTGTGGAAAAGATCGGAAAGTGATTTTGAATGCCCCTTACCTCATGGAACTTGAAAACAAAATAAATAATGCAAGCATAGAGTAGAGTAGGATCAAAGCATACCACTAAAAATCTATTCGTCTAACGACATGTAGATTCTTCAACTTATACCTAAAATTATGCATTCCTGCATGTAACCAGACATGACTGAGAGACAGTAAAATTTGACATATTTAAGACAGGAGTATGCTTACATGCATGTACGTTTTTCTCCTAAACAATGACAATCTATTTCTATAAAACTCCCGCTACAAATCAAACTCCTCTATGATCACACAGTAGCACCTCCACCTGTTTTACCATGGCTCCCTTTAGTTTTATATAAGTTGAAATACTCAAAGCATGCACTTCTCCTAAAATCCTTGGATATCATGTTGAAGTGATATCAAAAATTAACTATCCATCTATTCTGAATGCCATTGAATTAAGAAGCTACTATGTTTGTTTTTGTATGTATTTTAAAGCAAAGAATCACCTTGACCTTTGTACATAATGTTTTAATGAGGGAAAACATTGATTTGTATTCCAAAATCTATATTGTGTAGGGGTTTATCACTGATCAAGACACAGCTCTGCAAGAACTTTATGGAAATGTTGACAATATTCGTAGATTTAATACCTACTTGAATAATATGGCGATTCGAATAGCTACAGTTTTTGCTTCATTGAAGGTATTACTTAAATACCTTTGCACCTCATGTTTTATGTTTGTAATTTTAACTTGGATCAAGGTTTTAATGGACTACTTTTCTTGCTCAATTTTATGAGACAATAAGATGGTTAAGGTTTTGTAGAATCTGGGTTGCGCCTAACTCAACCTTATAAAACTGACATGCTAGGTGAAGGTTGCCCAAGCTTTATAAACACTACACATGCCATACCTCTAGACAATGTGAGATTAAATTCATCCCTTCATACCCAACACAATATGAACGCAATCCAAATGCCGCGACTAGGGGCAGACCCCAATGAAGACGAAATTTCAAACACACCCTCACGCTCTGACGCAATGAGCTTGAAGTGTGGACAATGCAGAAAGTCTAACAATAGATGCAGGATAGGCTCGGATACCATATTAGAAATTTGGGTTGAGTCTAAATCAACCATACAAAGCTGTGAAAACTGAATTTTGTATTTCCAGTATGAATGACATACGGGCACTAACCTCTTTATAGTTTGTATAGGCTTTTCTAACCAAATGAGTCTCACTAATGGAATAATTGGCCGGATACAAATTACTACTAATAATAGTAAAAATACATTATTTCCAACAAGGCTATACCACATTTGAACTCAAACATCAGCAAAATATAACCAAATGCTGCTAATTGGTGTTTACAGAAGTTATTAGATAAGTCCTGTCTCATTAGCTTTATTTAATGAAGATTTGTGAAATATCTAGCTGTAGTCATATAATTTTATGATTCCTTCTATAAAGGAATAAGTTGACCTTTCAGTGTAACTCATTGATAAGGATTTGCGTATTCTATAATTTCTGAAATATTACATCTTAATATCTCTATCTCATTAGGAGTTACCGATTGTATACTATCGTTCGGCAAAGGAAAGTGACGAGTCTGCACCAACAGTAAGTCGTGAATTAGTTCCTACCAAGCTTGCTGATGCAGTTTGGGACATGGTTTCTAAATATAAATCTACTATTCCCAACTTTCCACAAAAAGAAACATGCGACTTGATCATTGTCGATAGATCCGTTGATCAGGTTAAGAATACTCCTCTGCACAATTAATTTTCCATTTTATATCTCGATTTTGGTAACCGATGAATCTGCAACCACAGATTGCTCCTGTCATTCATGAATGGACCTATGATGCTATGTGCCATGATTTGTTGGATATGGAAGGAAATAAATATATACATGAGGTATGACATTCTTCTTCCCTTCCCTTACCTTGTAGACAAGATCTTATATTTTGATGCTTTTGATTGAGATAGCAATCATTTTAGGTTGCCAGCAAAACAGGGGGTCCACCTGAGAAAAAGGAGGTCGTTTTAGAAGAACATGATTCAGTCTGGCTCGAACTTCGCCATACACATATAGCAGATGTACGTCTTATTCGCTCTTTACCTACACACACTTCATTTGTCTGAAATCAAATCTCAAATCTCTTTTATCTCTTAAATTCTAGGCTAGTGAAAGATTGCATGAAAAGTTTACCAACTTTGTATCAAAGAACAAAGCAGCACAAATGCAACAAAGTGGAAGGTTCTCACTGTCACCCTAATCCTTGTTTTACTAAAAATAACATCTGATTGTTATGTGCAATGCCAGTCTAAATTAAGGTTCTAGCTTTCAATGTATTGTCATTATTTTTTTACACATAGCATGATTCGGCAAGCCTTTTATGTTGGGAATAACATCTGATTCTATATATTGCATTGGATTTAATATTGCATGAATTACGAAGTACCAATTTAAGTGTTCCGTCTCTCTTACTTTAGAATGAATGTATTTTGTATCTCATGCAATATTGCAAATTCTGTAGCTAATTGAAGTATTTAGTTTATGTTTTCAATTTATTATTTTCCAAAACTAATACACTGTAGGAAAAGAAGTATTTCAATTTCGTTTAACTAACCACCAGATAACATGCTAAGTCTAAAAACGGGTCTGGATATCAAATTTTGTACTATGTTTAGTAACTTGAGTGTGGATCAAAATATAGATTTTTTTACTCAAATGCAGCAATGGTACAACTATAGGTACTCTATCACCAAGGATTGCTCGTTACAAACAACAGAAGATATATTGCTCTAATAGGAATAATCACATCCAAACTTCTCTTATTAATGTAAATACATTGAACCCGAACCTTGCTAGTAGTTTCTATAATAAAATTGGAAACTAAACTAATATACATTAATTAATATGAAAAAAAGATTTTTAGTCTCTCAAGCCTTCTCCACTAAGGTTAATTAATGGGTTGTTAAAATGCATCTCAATTCTAATGGTATCATTGCGCTTGTCTATAGTGGGATAAGCACTTTTGACGTATAACTTTGATACTTCGCAGAGATGGTAGTGAAATATCGACACGGGATTTGCAAAAAATGGTTCAAGCTTTGCCCCAATACACTGAGCAAGTGGAAAAGATTTCACTCCATGTAGAGGTGATTGAGTTTTTCCATCTTACTTTCTTTTTTATAAACTTTTTTCTTAGTTATCTAGGAGGAGGAGTTGATTGCAGCTTAAGAAAAAAGAATAATGGCAATGGAATGTAAGAGGCCTGAAATTGCATAGTTTTCGATATGTCGATATGTCGATATGCCGTGCTCGCCAAGACACACAAACAGCTGTAACATATAATTCTTTTAAGTTGATAAGGGTCACTACAAAACAAAAGAAACACATTTCTATTCTGACCACTCTGCTTTTTATTAATGCAAAGCAGATAGCTGGAAAGATCAACAAAATCATCAGAGACGCAGATCTTCGACAGCTTGGACAGTTGGAGCAAGATCTTGTTTTTGGGGATGCTGCAGCCAAGGACGTTATTAACTTTTTAAGAACAAAGCAGGTCTTGTACTGAATCCATGTCTCCGAATAAGCAGTATAATATACATCTCAACACAAAATGTACTATTTCCTGATAAAAGAATTTTCCGCATGCAGAATACAACTCCTGAATATAAGTTGCGGTTGTTGATGATCTATGCATCTGTCTACCCTGAAAAATTTGAGGGTGATAAAGGTGTAAAGCTAATGCAGGTTGATACCAACACCTATGAATTCTACATGATTCATAAATTCTACAAATTATGTTTCTTTATTAGGTTTATGAATTAAAAGTATGCCTGATATTTCTGATTTTCCCAACTCCAAAATCAGTAAAGATGTTCAAGTTCTGATGAGATTCATGTTCTTTAGAAGATTGGTAACAAAAATTGACTGAATTAAACTTGAGCGACTGTGCTAAGCTCTGAATTGCTAGATATTCATGTCTCATTTTGTAAACTATCTCTGAATATGAGTATGGATCACTTTGCTAATAGCCGCATCATAAATAAATTTTGATGAGGCGCCTAAGAGAAAGAAAAAGTAGGTTGCCTGTAACATTACTTGATATGTTTGATTTCTAAGATCCAGTCTATTTTTTTAGGCAGTGAGAATCTATCAATGAATGCAATACTATAACTCAAAAAAAAATTGTAGTAAACCAAAATTATTGATGGTTTTGTTTATCTAACTAGTTGGCAAAACTATCAACCGATGACATGAAAGTTATCAGTAATATGCAACTGCTGGCGGGATCATCAACAAAGAAGGCATCTGCTGCTGCTGGTAGTTTCTCACTGAAGTTCAGTAACCAGAAGGTAAACATCTAATTAATTTTGTGCTGATAGAAGTCAAAAGAAGGAATATGTGTCAAGTGAGTATTTGTATACTCACAAAACAAAAATAAAAATATATGATTTATGGATTCTTTTTCGTCAAGGATTTTAGATATTTTAAGCTGAGGGTGGTATTGTATTGCAAAATGTTCTATGCTTTATTTCGCATTAAATTATCTATAAATTAAAACTTGTTTTTCTTTCATAGACAACGCAAGCAGCACGCAAAGACCGTACTGACGAAGAGGAAGAAACATGGTCACTATTTCGATTTTATCCCGTTCTAGAGGTACGACTAAAGATCATGCAAGCTTTTCTTTTCCAAATTTATTGCATGTGAAATGCTATCTGGGTTCTCTTGAGTTCTATGAATATTAGTAGAAAGAGAAACAAATTTTCTAATATAATCTAGGTGCTTTATAACCAAACACAGTGGATCCTTGTACAGGAAAATTTGTGCTTTTTTTTTTTAAATGCTATAATGTTAGTGCATCATGAGACATTTGCAATCATTAGCTTTTACCGTATAAAAATGTAAAAGACATTTGCAAGATGATTGATCTGCCTATCATTGCTAGTAAAACAAGCCAGCTCCTAGTACCTTGCATGTTTAATTTTGCTAGATTTTAGAAGTTACATGTTATATAGTTTTTCCACTATAGTTATTACAAAATCTCAATAGTTGATTTGTTCAGAGTGTCACACTTGCAATCCAATAAACCTTTCCTCTCTGTATGTCAAAGTAAATTAGATTGAATTGGGACAAGTTGAGGTAAACATATGAAAAGTCATTTATGAACCATACCTACTGAGAAAAGTTTTTGTTGTTGTGGAATTGTATGAGAAGAATCTGATTTAAACACGGTAAGGAAATTGCGTAAGAAATATTGTTGTTTAATTATAACATGACTATTTTTAGTATTGTACATGATCAAATCTAAATCATAGCTATCATTGCACCTGTCAGGAGCTCATTGAAAGTCTTAATAAGGGTGAACTGCCAAAGAGTGACTATGCATGTAAAAACGAACCAATTCCCGTTCCCAAAGGAAACACTGCTCGAAGCAGCAAGAGCACTCAGACAGCTCCAGCTCCAACAGCCCCTCCACATTCAATGAGATCTAGGCGGACAGCCAACTGGGCTAAGTCACGTACATCTGACGACGGATATTCAAGGTGACATGAACTATTATTACCTAAACATAAATGTCTCTTTCAGAAAAAATCTGCATTCAAATTCAAATAGATACAATTATAGCCTGAACATATAGCTTTTCCAATATTCCACAGTGACTCCACGTTAAAGAACGTAGCTGCCGATTTCAAGAAGATGGGAAGGAGAATCTTTGTGTTTATTATTGGTGGGGCTACTCGATCTGAGGTAAAATATGATAAAGAACTTCTGCAACTATATCCGGGATTTTGCAATTGTAATCCCATCTTGTGATTATTTTTGTTATTTTCAGCTACGTGTTTGTCACAAACTGACAACAAAACTAAGAAGAGAAATAATCCTAGGCACTACTTCCATGGATGACCCTCCACAATATCTTACGGTAATAACTCCATTTTTTGGGCATGAAGTATGTGTCTTTGTGCTCTATGCGGAAAAATGCCATGTAAAGCATGATAGGCTGAGATTTTCGGGTAGAAATAAGAGTTTGATTGAAGTAGCTTTAGTTAGTTATTTTCTATCAGCTGAAATATTTATTTACTAACAGAAACTTATATATAGCACAATTGATTCTCCTGATGTGGTATAATATGCAGAAATTGAAGTTATTATGCGAAAGTAATGTTACGCCTACGCTGGACGGCCTTGGAATATGAAGTATTTCTTAATACTGCTAATTGCCAAAAGGTTGGCTATACCTTCTGTATCAATTATTACTCACTACCCTTAATTCTTTAGACATAGAAAGTTTATGTTCTCTTGACAAGGGATGAACACAGGGCCCTTTCAATTTTGGTTACACAAATTGTGTCATGTACGATGGACATTTGTTATAACTGTTATGATAATATGTTTTTCATTTCAACTTCAGCTGAAAGAAAGATAATAAATTATAGCTTTTGTATTTACTTCTTCCTTGTTCTCCATTTTTTAATCCTAAATTACACTTTGCCAAATATACATCAACTAAAGTAAAGTCTGATTTTTTGGATAAACTCATAGTTTACGGTCAAATTATTGTTTTATTAAGATGTGTCTCTTTCTTCTTTTTTTTTTTTACAATGACATGCAAGTCTGTAAACCAGATAATAAAATGTAAATATCAGAATTCCAGTCTCTTGCTGTACGTATGAGCTCAATGTGAATATTTGTTGATCACAACCAATTTGAATATTTTTTTGACAATGACATTGATCACTGCTGCAAGAGAAGATCTCTGGGTTGTGTACTCCTAGATCTATCATAAATGAATAAAATAAAAATAATCAAAGTCAAATCAATAAGGCAATGCACTCCAGTAAACCAAGACCATATGACAAGAGAAAACTTGCAATGAAGTAAAAGATAGTTAGAGGTCTCAACGGATTCACCCCAAAGGAAGCACATGGAAACTTTTATGCAGCCTATCAGCTTCAATCTATATGCATTTTCTAGTAATTTGCCTCAAAATCAAATGTGTCAGTGCTCCTACTCCCATGGGTAAACTAGTTTAATTTGGACTTTTCTTTATAGGATTCTTCCCATGAGAAAGATTGGAAAGAGCTTGTTCGAGTTCAATTTGATCTATGATATCTTGATTAGGAAAACTGTAATAGCCTAAGGTATTGATTTGGTTTTTTTTAATGATGGACATGTAAAATTTTGGTATATAAACATTTCATTAATGTCGCAATTTCTAGAAATGTGTGTTTATGTATCATTTATTCACTTTAAAATTATTAAAAATAATTGATATTGGGTTTTAAAAAGATTATCATCTAAGGTTTTTGTACATATATTAAATAACACAATAATATTGTCATAAGATATTATACTTTTACAAAATTAATTTTATTAATATATTAGAAGTAGTGTTCAGAATAAAAAGTAAATGATACAATTGAAAAAATGACAATAATTATTACATTAAAAAGTAAAAAAGATAGTCATTTAAAAACAAATTTTATTTATTAAAACGATAGCCATTTTAAAACGAAGAGAATAATGTTTTTAGTACTAATAATACTTGATTGGAGACACATAATTTTAAACAAAATTTATATAAAATTTTAATTTATTTCAAATAATTTTTTATTAAAAAAAGGTGGTAGTTAAGTCCCAAAAGAGTTAAGGTCTAAATTAATATCAGTCTACTACAAATGATTTAAGATATAAAGTCATCTCGCACGAAATGCAAGGTATATTTTTTTATCTTTATTTTTTGCTGCAATTATTTTGAATTATGAACTGACTTGAGCATTGGAGTGTTAACCTTACAAATCCACGTCAGTGTCGTTGTATCGGAGATCAACACTACCGGTTCATGATCTTTCACCATTAACATACACCTAATTCTTGTTCCAGAATGAAACACTAGCGCTGTTTGTGAGAATCAACTTATGATTCCTACAAAGTTCCACGAGTAGGTCATCTTCGATCCAAAACCAGATTTATATTGAAAACATTGGAATGGAAGTAGTATCTCCATTAGTCATGTCAAGGAAATCCGTTGAATCTTCTGATTTTGTCATCCACCAATTATCACATATTGATGAGATCCGTAGTGCAGCGACATCTAGTGTCGGTCTGCCATCAGAGTGTCTTTCGCTAACGACAAGTAATGTCAATCAACGGAATAGAGATTGATTGGCCTTAGGATTTCTAGATCGGTGGAACTTCGAACTTTAACCTACCGTTGGTCTTATTGTCACTGTCACTAATCGTAATTTGACAGGATTTCTTGTAGATGATGAAAGCTTCTATAACATCCTCTACATTGACACGTTAGAGCAATTAGACCTCCAACATCCAAGTCTGAATTTGTATTATGGTGGAGATCGGTTGGCCTTCAATTATTCAGTAACTTGTCCTTGCGGAATGATAGATCTAACATTGTCATTGGCAGAAAGAGTGTTAGGGAGGAATGTAACTACTAACTTCCTTGCAATTCTGTGTAGAAGTGCATTCAAAGGTATATTGGGAAGATCTTTATTGGAAAAGCTAGATGTAGCTGCTTTCCCAGTCCACCTTTAGATAGCATACCATGGTATTGAATAGAGGTATTGGCATTGACCTTGAGGAAGCAAGGTGGGGCAAAGAAATTATACTAAAGCACATCTTTGTGTCATCGGTAGAAGTAGAGGAAGGCCCAGGGGTATCAATAAGTTCAATTTGGATACCTACGAGGATGAAGTTAGGCCCGTCCCAGACAATGAGTTCGGGACCGTCCAACTCGGTGATAATCCTGCACGATCGTTAAAGATAGGATCAAGCTTCCTATGGAGCTAAGATCCATATTAATCGAATGCCTTCAAGCCTACGCATATTTTTTTGCTATCTCACTATACGAGATGACTAGCATCGACCCCACAGTGGTTTGCCGTCAATTGAACGTCGACCCCGATGACTGTTATGCCTCATAGCAACAAAAAAGGTAGTCCTCGGGAAACTGAAGCCACTGTGAGCACAGTGAAAGGAATATTATATGCAAGATTCATTTATGAGGTGAAGTATACATAATGGTTTTCCAACGATGTTCTAGTGAAGAAAGCCTCAAGAAAGTGGGGGATATGCGTTGATTATACTGATCTTAATATATTATGCCCGAAGGACTCTTACCTACTCCCAGACATCGACAAACTCGTAGAAAGTTCAATCGAATATAAGTTATTATCATTCATGGACACTTACTCTGGGTATAATCAAATTTATGTGCTCAGGCCCGGCCAGATAAAGACAACATTCATGACAGAGCAAGCCAGTTACCAGTACAATATCATGCCTTTTGGGTTGAATAATGTTGGTGCAACATATCAGAGGATGATGAACAAGATCTTTCAAGAGGAGATAGGGTAGACGTTAGAAGTGTACATGGATGACATGATTGTAAAATTCAATCAAAAGTAACTCCATGATGATCAACGCCTCCAATGGGTATTCAAGAGGGTCCAACAATATAATAACACGAGACTCAATTCAAAGAAGTGCACCTTCAGAGTAATAACCAACAAGTTCTTAGGGTTCTACTTAACTAAGCGGGGAATCAAAGCAAACCCTAGCAAGTGCAAATTAGTGGTACGAATGAGCGCTCTAACCTCAAACAAATAGGTCTCAAAGATGAATGGCATGTTGACTGCTTCGAACTGGTTTGTTTCAAAATTTTCTCAAGAAGTATTACCTTTTTACAAGTTATTAAAGAAGGAGGCGAATTCTAATGAACTCCTGTTACAACTGGTTTTTAAATAAGAGTCATCATCCTTAATTTTTATCCTAAAGAAGGGAATATAAAGGATAACCGTAAAAGTTATAGATTCTAGGTTTTTTGGACTCGGTTCCAGAAGAAGAGAAGGTGTTAGGCACCCCCTCATATACCTTGTTCACAAGGATACTAGGTTTAGAAGCGCAATGTTTAGGAAATAGAGTTTTAATTACTTATTAAGGAAAAGGGTCTGAATTTTAGTTAGCGGGACTCGCCACGATTTTCGATCGTATGCCTACGTATCCTCCTAGGAGGAATCAGAGTCATATTTCGTAGTTCGCGATTTGGTTGGTGTTTTTTAGAGGATTGCATAGAATTATTTTCGAATTTATCCTCGAACCTTGTCTGGGTTGTAAGTTGAGTGATGATAGACGCAGTTCGCAATTTAAACTTGAAATTAATTCTCCTTAATTCTTTTTCGAAAATATCTTGTAGTTTGATTATGTTAGTGGAAAAAGTGTTTATTGTTGGTTAGCTGTATTAAGACGTAGACCGGGGAAAATGTGATAAAGTACTTCTCCTCACGTGACCAGATATTAATCGCGTGTTATTCGTCATAGAGGATGTGGAGGGAGTCCGATACAGTCTTCCTCATCACGTGACCAGATATTGACCACGTGTCACACATTGGTGAATTGCATGGTAAAATTTTGAATTAATTAATTTTAAAAGTGTTTGATTTATGTACTAGGCTCGATATATTGTTATAAAGCAATTAATACTTTTTGTATATAACTCAAATAAATAAATAAACTAAGTTGAATTTAGCTTGCTTAAAATTAATTCTTAATTATTCTGACTAACTCAATTAACTTAAAATTAATTCTTAATTATTCTGACTAACTCAATTAACTTAAAATTAACAACCAAATTAATTGACTAATTAGTATGGATTAAATTTATTGAGGGTGTAATCTTTAACTTGGGGTGGATACAAGTAAAATGTTAGAAAGAAAAGAAAGCCCACTTATCAATTTAATCCTAATTTGAATTAAAAGAGTAAAAGGATAAACCAAATGAACATACATTGAGGGAGGAGGCGCCTTCCATGCTCCTGTTTTTGATGAATATAACACATATATTTGACTTTTCAACCAACATGCCACCCAATCGTATCATGACACGTGGAAATGGGAAAAAAATTTAAAAATAAATAAATCAATATCATAGATATACGTTTGCAAAAATAAAGTGTGAGATTCAAAACACCACACTTTCTTTTCCCTTTTCTCTCTCCACGTATCTCCCTCTTATCTTCATCTTCCCACAATGACAATGCATCTCCATCTTATCTTCATCTTCCCACAATGACAACGTGAAAGATTAGCGTAAGGCTTGCTGAAAGCAAAGTGGGTTGCGGATTCCGGCGACGGGTGGAACGACAAGGTGGTATGGTGGTTTCCGGCGTTTGTGAATGGCGGAGAAGAGAGTGATTCGATGATGATGATTGAGTTACAGTGGAAGTATCGGCGGAGAACGGATCTCAGTGTCCGACAAGGGCTTTGACAGTGACGTTGTTGTTGCATTGTTGTTTGTGTTGCAGACAGGGAGTTTGTTGGGAGAAGCAGGGATAATGGATGGTGGCAGAGAGAGGTGGCTAGCGGAAACAGGGTGGTAAGAGGTTGAGCTCCCTTGATTCAGTTTTTGTTCTCCATTTTATAGAAATTTAGCTTTAGATGATTTAGGCGATTATTTAAGGTGTTTGATTACAGTGATTTTGATTAGGAAATTATCAATGTATTGATTCTATTTTAATTGCCCTTAAATTAGTTCCTGCTTATGAATTGATTTGTAATAAGTTTTTTTTATTTATGTTATGATCAATTTCGATTCTGCTTCTGGAAAACACGAATACAGGATCTAATTTGACCTTGCTATAAAGCACATAACTTAATTCGTCCAGCAACTACTTTCATCCTTTTGGGCCATCCTTTCTTTTAAGTTTTTGGGCTTGCTCGTTATTGGGTCTGGGCTGATCTTTTTTTGGACTGTAGAACCAACTTTTCTTAAGTCAATATCCGACATGATCACTGCTCTCTTGCCAAAACATGACTAGGATTGAAATTATTTTTGTTCATTTAAATTCTCAAGTTGTATTTTCTTTGCTTATTTGAATAATTATTGTCATGTCAAAACTTTGTTATTTCATTAATGTATTACACATGTTTTGTCTTGAATTAATCTGTTTTCACTATGCTTAAACTGCTTTATACTTCCTTTTCGTAATATTCAACTCTCGATTAAAAGCTCAAAGCCTTAGAGGGAGGATGACGAAAACGATACCACAATCTCTACATTATGCTTTTGAACAGACATTCTTGACGATATACAGGTGTTGTTTCAAATCCTAAACAATGGAGTTATAAGGAAGATAATCCCTAGTCAACCCCTTTGAGCCAAAGAAATAGGAGTTTTTCTTTTCACACTAATTAAAATCCTTAATCATAACCTGGGGCAGGGTAGTTTTCTCAGTCAATTCAGACGCGCATTTAGTCGTAATCTTTCGCTTCGTACATAATGAATGGCATTGAAGACGTCCTTCCAAATCAAAAGACGGTGATGGTTCCGCATAATCGTCAAGACATGCAGTCATTATCTCTTAAAATAAAAGGCCGCTAAGTCAAAACCTAAGGAGGCACCCCGTTGACTGTAATCACAAAAAGAAACAGTTCAGACAAAAGACAGGGATAATAAAATCAAAAAGAAAGAGGTCCTACAAATCCTCGACAAAAAAGATTACAAAAATGACTGCTTATGCAAAACAAACTTTCAGTATCCGAACCATTACCGAAACATCAAGGACAGTACTTCAGGACCCAACTGGGATTCTAAACGCACAATTAGCTAAGCATAGGACTGAAGGACATCACGAAGAACGAGTGGGTACAAATAAATTTTGAGCCTTTATCTTTTGTTTCTTAAACCATGAACCAGACTACGTTATAACCCTTAAAAGTCCTAGCTGAAGCACGGGTTAGTTTGAGAGCATACTGTTACAAAGGTATCCTGACTCCTGTAGGACTTGTTACGAATCCTGAGTTGATATCACATTCTTGCAAATTTTGTTTTACTATGTAAAACACATTTTCAAAAAAATTTCAAGACAGACATGAGTTTGCATTCTTTAAATGACATTGTTTGCATATGACTAGTTGTTTGACAGCAGAGAAATCTGCACAATAGATATTCAATGAACAGACATCCTCTCAATGGACAGAATCACCTCAGCAGGAAAGACACTTCCAACAACAGGTCTTCCATAAGCAAGGGGCGTAACATGATGTCTAACACAACTGGGGCTGTCTCTCCAAAAGTGCCAAATAACCAGGGGCAGATCTCCATCTGAATCACTTGGGGAATTATGCACGCATTCCAACAATGAATCATGTGCCATCAAGAAAACATCTTTTGGCAGTGTGGCAATATTTACTACTATGGACAGTGACAATCCTCCATACCCGGTGAACATGGACATAGTCAGAAAATACTACGCACGAACAAAGACCCGCTAGGTTGAATGGCCTAGGCAAAAATAAGGGCATCCTGACGAACCAAAAGGGTTCAGACAAAAGTTAGGGATATACATATGAAAGAAAAAAAACTGTACACCCGGTAAGTCGAAAACCTGAAAAGGCAGCTCGGGCAAAAAAGGGTATCCCAATGGATTGAAAATCTGAAAAGACAGTCCAGGAAAAAGTTAGGGATTAAAGCGTACGACTACGTCCCATCATCTCGTCACTTGTCTAATCAGTAGAAAGTTTATTACCCTGATCTGCATTCACCAAGGACTCCAAGAGTTGGGATAACAGTCAAACCATCTAAAAAATCCCCGGTTGATATTTTCTACAACAGGTATCGAGACAGGGGCATTCTACTACCAAGTCACCGCCATATTCTCAGCTTACAACCTATTGATGTCAGGTGTTCTCATACCCTCGGCAGAGCAAAATCTCCGAATTACTACTCCAACAAAAACTTCTCAGTGAAGTCGCCAAGCTTCTCGGGATTCCCCAAGCGGATTACAGAGTTTCCCTTCCCTAACAAAAACATTCTTAATAAAGCAGATTCTCATCTAGAAACGGTTCAGATCCATCCACCAAGCCTCCGCAGGTACTTTCTCTAACAGGTACAGGGGCAGAAAAGTCTTGATGCAAAGTCATTATCGTATCCTCAACATGCGTTCCAGTAACATATACACTCCCTAGAGTAGAGGCAACTAAAGTTTTGACATCGGCTTCCCCAGACAGGAGTTACTATCCCCAGCCAGGTTCCTTCAGAAAACTGACATCTAAATTCCCCGGCCGAATTTCATAATCACAAGCGGGTCATAAAGTTTTCTCCCGAGTAGAGTTTATTTCTATGAATACAGAATCTCAACCCCCAACAGAGTTTATCCCTTCAGCTACGGAAGTTCATCCTCCAACAGAGTTATGCTCCCGCAGAGTTATTCTCAAACAGAGTCTCTCCACCGGCAGAGTAGCTGTAAACAAGGAGCAAAGCTCCAGTATAGTCATCTCCATTCACCATCCCCAGCGGGAGTAAAAGAACCATTTTTCTACGACGGTTAGGAATTCAATTTCCAGTACTCTCCAACAGCAGTCAGGGATTTATTTTCCCAGACTCGAACATGTCACAATAGCATTTCATGTTCATACATCATGACATGCGCATACATATCGCATACAGCGTAATCTCATTTATTTTGAGAACATCATCATACAATGCATTTCATGCATCACATATAATTAATCATGTACCTTTTTAGGAAAGATGATTATCATCAACAATTTCCAGCAGGTCCAAGATTAGCTCCTGAAACTAAACAGAGTAATTATCTGCGCGATCAGATGCAGTTTTACACGAACTTATCACAAAGTAACCTTACCCAGGTTCCTCCTGAAGTTTTACACGAACTTATCACAAAGTAAACTTATCCAGGTTCCTCCTGAAGTTTTACACGAACTTATCACAAGGTAACCTTACCTAGGTTTCTCCTAAAGTTTTACACGAACTTATCCCAAAGTAACCTTACCCAGGTTCCTTCTGAAGTTTTACACAGACTTAGCCCAAAGTAACCTTACCAAGGTTCATTCTAAAATTTTTCTCAAACTTATCCCGAAGAAACCTTACCTAGGTTCCCTCTCGGTTCCGATGAAGTTTTACCCAAACTCCCCACGAAGCAACCTTACATAGGTTCCTTCTCGGTTCATATGCAGTTTTACCCAAACTCCTCACGAAGTAACCCTTCAACCCAGGTTCCTTCCCATAAGCCCTACTATCCAGGCTTTTATCTCGAAGTAACCCTACGATCCAGGTTCCTTCCCATAACCCCTACTATCCAGGCTTTTATTCCGAAGTAACCCTATTATCCAGGTTTCTTTCCATAGCCCTACTAATCAGGCTTCCACCTTTAAGTAACCCTACTATCCAGGTTCCTTCCCATAAGCCATACTATCCAGGATTTCATCTCGAAGTAACCCTATTATCCAGGTTCCTTCCCATAAGCCCTATTGTCCAGGCTTTCATCTCGAAGTAATCCTACTATCCAGGTTCCTTCCCATAAGCCCTACTATCCAGGCTTTCATTTCGAAGTAACCCTACGACCAAGGTTCCTTCTCATAGCCCTACTATACAGGCTCTCATTTCGAAGTAAACCTATGACCCAGGTTCCTTCTCATAGCCCTACTATCCAGGCTCTCATTTCAAAGTAATCCTACGACCCAGGTTTCTTCTCATAGCTCTACCATCCAGGCTTTCATTTCGAAGTAATCCTACGACCCAAGTTCCTTCTCTCTTATCTCTAGACAATAATTTACAACACTGCAAGACCTGGACCCGACCAGAATCGATCGACTCACTTTTCCCCAATAAGTCGTTGTGCAGCCTGGACCCTAACCAATTAGACAGTGTGCTCCCACCTCCTCAATCAAGAGTTAATTCCCCAGTAGAGTAATGGACAACTAAAGCTCCTATACTCTATTTCCCCATATGTAAATCAACATTCTCCAGTGAAGTCCTCCTCAACGGTAGGTACAAGAATTCTCGCAAATGAATCTCTTATGCAACTGATATCTTTTCTGGATGGCATCTTTAAGCCCATCTCCGACGATCTTTCGTCATCTTCTTCCATATGGCATCTGTAATTCCATTCTCGATATTACCTACACTACCAGTATCATTTCATACGAGTGCAAATTTCAGGGCACTTTAGTGTTCAATCATCTTCCACCTTCATATCATGAAAGGAAAACCAGCCAATCTACATCCTCAAGTTTAAGAATATTGAACAGGGGCAGCTGTTGTACCCCAAAATTTTCCCTCTCATCTTACTCAACACATGCTCATTAAGATACTTAACTTTCTCAAAGATGCCCAAGAGTTGACCAGACAAACTCTCTCCTAAAGCAATGAACCTCCAAATAGGGTTTCCATTTTAATCAAGATGGGTTAGCTCCAAAGGCCTAATATGCTCTCCTAAGTTCTAATATGTTCTCAAGACCATCCATGTAAAGTTTCATGCCTTGCA